CCCCAAAACCCCAAAACCCCAAAACCCCTTGGTAAGCGAATTTAGTTGAAAATTAAGTAATTTGGGAAGATATTTTGGAGATAAGGGGGTTTAATGGGGATGAAGAGGTGTGGAGAGAAGGGGGAAATTGGGCTTTAGGGGGGAATTTTCGGGGGTTTTGGGGGTAATGGGGGTGAAGTTTGGGGGAAATGGTGTTACTAGGAGAGGAATGTATGTATTTAAGGGATATATGGGATGTAGATTGGATCTGGGTATGAAAATATCTTAAAATATTTGGAAATGATTTCTATTTAGATTAGTTAATCCAAAATTTCTCTTAGCTAGCCTTATTTAAAGAAAAAAGTATGATAATTAATTTATCACAAAGTTTATTTAATTTTGTAACGTCCGGAAATATTCCAGAATAAATCAGAGCAGCCTATACTCTTGTCTTGCTTATATGTTTGAGCTTATAAATCTTTCCTATCTCTCTAAACTTCTTTGATACCCTCCTTCCATCATGCTTGAAATAAGTTGGAATCTGATCTGGCAACTCAGAGCTTCTCCTATCTATAAAAAGGTTAATATGAATGCTTGAAATAGAAAAATAATTAAACTTACAGTCTAAGTAAGCACTCCTTCTTTGCTTCGGATTCTTCTTTCCATACATTTCCTCCAGTTCTTGTGAACTTGGAGCATTTGGAAATAGAAAGTTTGAAACATTAGGTAGCATCGCCTTTGGACTAGTCTCTCTATTTTCAAAATTAAGTAGGAGTGGGCAAACCGAAAAATAAACCAAATTGGAAAATTTCAGTTAGACTATGGATATTAAGAAGAACATTTATTTTTATAACGAAGTTATCTGAGGTTTATTAAACTCTAAGAAAATTCCTTACTGGTCTTTCACACGCCTCCTCATTTGATGAACTTCTTGACTAGTAACAAAGGTACTATTAATCTTGGTAGAAGGGTTAATCACAGTAATTTTGTGATTTCTTCTTCTGTTCCTTCGAATAGGAACTAGGAGTGTTCCCTTAGTACTATGTTCATAGAGCTTAATAATTTTAAGCTTCTTGCTAACCCCAACGTTCTTGCTTTTGGTCAGGTAATTATTTTAGCATCGTCTTAGATCTATAATAAGCGTTATAATAAAAAATTGCGGATTTTTACACCGTTATTAAGATTTCAGACCTATCAGACAAAAGACTTGCCAATAGAAGGTTCTAAACCCCTCATTTATAATTTTGTATCAAAGGAAAGACAATCAGAAAGGATCTCACATTTTGGAAAATTTATTTAATAGTTGTTAATTTTATGTATGAATTTCTAAAGGCTAGTTCCAGTTTAATAATCATTAGTTTTCTTAGATTTTTGCAGACTAATACTTATCAAATTCTAATTATCGACGTAATTATCATATATGTACTAGAGGCAATGTGCTATGGAGTCCTATTGAGTAGGAATAGACTCAAAGAAATTTGGATAGCAACCAAAGTTGCATAATACGAAATTCTTAATAGTCTTAGAAATGGATATTAATAAAAGTTTGCTAAAATTTAGTGTACAACTCCTCTTATTATCTAACTACACTAACAGATATTTGCAACATCTTGGAGGCTAACCGCCGCTATCTAAAAGCAGAATATTTCTTGATATAATCTAACTCAATTCACCTGCTTAAATCAAGCTAAACATTAGTATCCAAAAAGTGCACATAATCAGTCCAAAGATAAATTTTGATAGCATTTCTCATAAACCAACCTACATTTGGGGAAGTGATGCCGAGGAATCCCTCACCTTATCCCTCGATAATCTCATATGACTCGCCTATAAACTCCAATTACACCCAAACCTCTACTAAATTCCCAAAATCCCATCTACTTACCGGCCTAATACCATACAGCTTTCTTGAAAGGCTGGTGACTAACTTCTGGGGATCCAGAGTCTCACTTCCACTAGCTGGTTCCATTAGGTTGTTAATAATTTCAATTATTTAATTATTGGCTGGGGTTTTGGGGTTTTGGGGTTTTGGGGTTTTGGGG